GCCTGATGGGGGATGTAGTCCCGAGGCAGCGGCACCCCCGGCGCGCACGGCGCCGAGCGGGGACTCGGTGTGAACACGGGTGGAGGGACCCGGTGTGACACGGGTGTGACACGGGTGGAGGGACCCGGTGTGAACGCGGGTGAAAGGACCCGATGTGAACACGGGTGGAGGGACCCGGTGTGACACGGGTGTGACACGGGTGGAGGGACCCGGTGTGAACACGGGTGGAGGGACTCAATGTGGACACGGGTGAAAGGACCCGATGTGGACCCGGGTGGAGGGACCCGGTGTGACACGGGTGTGACACGGGTGGAGGGACCCGATGTGGACACGGGTGAAAGGACCCGATGTGGACCCGGGTGGAGTGACCCGGTGTGAACACGGGTGTAGGGACCTGATGTGGCATGGGTGGGGGGAGCCGGTGTGAACATGGGTGAAGGGACTCAATGTGGACACGGGTTGAGGGACCCGGTGTGAACATGGGTGAAAAGACCTGGTGTGAACACGAGTGGAGGGACCCAGTGTGACACGGGTGGAGGGACCCGGTGTGACACGGGTGGAGGGACCCGATGTGAACACGGGTGGAGGGACCTGGTGTGAACACGGGTGAAAGGACCCGGTGTGACACGAGTGGAGGGACCCAGTGTGACACGGGTGAAGGGACCCGGTGTGAACACGAGTGGAGGGACCCGGTGTGACACGAGTGAAAGGACCCAGTGTGACACGGGTGGAGGGACCCGGTGTGAACATGGGTGGAGGGACTCAATGTGAACACGGGTGGAGGGACCCGGTGTGACACGGGTGAAGGGACCCGATGTGACACGGGTGGAGGGACCCGATGTGACACGGGTGGAGGGACCCGATGTGACACGGGTGAAGGGACCCGATGTGACACGGGTGGAGGGACCCGATGTGACACGGGTGGAGGGACCTGGTGTGAACACGGGTGAAGAGACCCGATGTGACACGGGTGGAGGGACCTGGTGTGACACGGGTGAAGGGACCTGGTGTGAACACGGGTGGAGGGACCCGATGTGACACGGGTGAAGGGACCTGATGTGACACGGGTGGAGGGACCCGATGTGACACATGTGAAGGGACCCGGTGTGACACGGGTGGAGGGACCCCGGGTGGAGGGACCCGATGTGACACGGGTGAAGGGACTCGATGTGAACACGGGTGAAGGGACCCGATCTGACACGGGTGGAGGGACCCGGTGTGACACGGGTGGAGGGACCTGGTGTGAACACGGGTGGAGGGACCCGATGTGACACGGGTGAAGGGACCCGATGTGAACACGGGTGAAGGGACCCGATGTGACACGGGTGAAGGGACCCGGTGTGAACGTGGGTGGAGGGACCCGATGTGACACGGGTGGAGGGACCCGATGTGAACACGGGTGGAGGGACCCGATGTGACACGGGTGAAGGGACCCGATGTGAACACGGGTGAAGGGACCCGATGTGAACACGGGTGAAGGGACCCGATGTGACACGGGTGAAGGGACCCGGTGTGAACGTGGGTGAAGGGACCCGATGTGACACGGGTGAAGGGACCCGGTGTGAACACGGGTGGAGGGACCCGATCTGACACGGGTGAAGGGACCCGGTGTGAACGTGGGTGGAGGGACCCGGTGTGAACACGGGTGGAGGGACCTGGTGTGAACACGGGTGGAGGGACCCGATGTGACACGGGTGAAGGGACCCGATGTGAACACGGGTGAAGGGACCCGATGTGACACGGGTGAAGGGACCCGGTGTGAACGTGGGTGGAGGGACCCGATGTGACACGGGTGGAGGGACCCAATGTGACACGGGTGGAGGGACCCGGTGTGAACGTGGGTGGAGGGACCCGGTGTGACACGGGTGGAGGGACCCGTTGTGAACGCGGGTGAAGGGACCTGATGTGACACGGGTGGAGGGACCCGGTGTGACACGGGTGAAGGGACCTGGTGTGAACACGGGTGGAGGGACCCGATGTGACACGGGTGAAGGGACCTGATGTGACACGGGTGGAGGGACCCGGTGTGAACGCAGGTGGAGGGCCCTGATGTGAACGCGGGTGGAGGGACTCAATGTGGACACGGGTGGAGTGACTTGGTGTGAACACGGGTGAAGGGACCCGATGTGACACGGGTGGAGGGGTCCCACTGTGCGACAGGTAAAGGGGTGCGCAGGGACCGTGGGGTGAAGGGGATACAGGACACCTGCTGTCACATGGGTGGAGGACCAGGGGGGCATTGGGGATACCCTCCATGTGTACCCCGCATGGAGGGGCCGCCAATGGGGTGTGGGGAGCCAAGAACATCCACCCCGGTACAGAGGATGGAAGGGGTCTGAGTGGGGATCTGCTGATCTGGAGAGGGGCCGCATGGGGACAAGTCAGTGTGCACCCCATAAGGAGGCTCCATGTGGGGACCTGCCACTGCCCACCCGTGTGTGAGCTGTGGAGAAGTCACGCGTTGGGAGCATAGAGATCCACTTGGGAGAAGGGCAGGGACACCCCATGGTGGCCATAGCCTGGGAGCAGTGGGGCGAACTGGTAGGGAGAAGGGCGCTGGGCAGGTCCTGAAGGACACATATAGGGGCTTCATGGGGGACACAGCCTTTGGGTCCTCCCCATTCACAGGGGCTTCAGCTTTGCGATGGGAAGACCCCAACCAAACCCCCAAGCGTGTGAGGGCCAAAACCTCGCGCTCAGCAGCACCGGGAATCACGGGATGAGCGGAGAAGGGGGGACCCGCAGCCCCCCAGGGCCTTGCAGTGGGAGCAGCTCACCCTGCCCTTGGCTCCCTGCCCCACTAAAGCCCCCTCTGCAAACTGGGACAGCCCCGCTCCCCCCCAGCCTGCCTTTTCTCATTGAAATGAGGAGCTTTTTAGCGCGGAGGGAAGCATTGAAAAGAGCTTCCCAGCTCCCCCGCCAGCCGGGCTGGGCTCTGCGGGTGCGAGCGGAGCCTTTCTCCCCTCTTCCCCTTTCTTCCCTTTGAATCAAACCAGATGTCTCTCCCATGAAATGCGATTGCAGGAGCTTACAGTGGGGAGAGACAATGCCGAGAGACGCGAGGCTCCCACCGAGCTCCATCGCAGCGGCCACGGCTGCGGCGCTGCCTGGGAAGAGGGGGTGCCACTGATGCCTTGTCACCCCCCCTCTCTATTCCCTGTGATTCCCCCTCTCTGCCTCCCAGATCCCCGCAGCGAAAAGGTTCCTCTCCCTTTCTCCCTCCCCTCTCTGGGTCTACAAGCAGCAGCAGCTCAGCTTGCAGATGAACTAAGCAGATGGGGCACCCAGCACAAGGAAATGTCTCATCCACTGACTCAGACGGTAAGGTGTTGCTGGAGCTTTCCCCTGCAACTTTGCCCAGGCGCTTTGGGAATGGGAATCCTGCTTGTCTCTAGCTTTGGCAGCCAAGCCGGGGCGATGCTGGGGCAGCGGTGGCGCTGGCAGGTCCCTGGTGTGGAGCTGCTGATGAGGGTTCGATGGCTTCAATGGCTCGTGTTATCTGTCCTTTGAACCCCCCCGTGGGGATGTGGGCTCGTGGAAGTGGGGCACTTTGGGGTGTTTTCCTTCGTCCAAAGTGATGTCTGGATTGGGATGGGTGGTGCATGGGCAAATCCGCGTGTGTTTAATACGTGTGGGTGTTCATACATGCGCTGCCTCTCGCACACGCTTAAATCCATGTCAGGACATGGAAGCGTGTGCGTTCCAGGCGTGTGTCACGGGATCATGGGACGGGTTGGGTTGGAAGGGACCTTAAAGCTCATCGAATGCACATCTGCGTGGCGGTGTGTTCCTGCGTGCATCCGTGTGCAGGAACACGCGTGCATACATGCAGTGGTGGTGGTGGGAAACCCTCCTGTAGATGATGGTCCAACATTCCCATCTGTCCCAGTCTGGGCTCGTCCCTTGAGGCCAATAGAGATGCTCTGCAGGGATCATTGTGGGGAGAGGTTTCTGCTTCCAAGCTCCATTGTTGGCTGTGTCCCGGAGCTTTCCATAAAGTGAAAGGAAAAGGAAAGGGCAAAACAAGAGCTCCGAGCTCTCAAAGGGGCCCCAACCCCATCCGACCAACTGCAAGGTCTGTGTTGGGGTCCAAGCCCGTTCGCCTCCTCCCCCTGGGGCTCCATCACTTCCCATCCTCAAACCTGAGCATTCCCATATCCACATGAGTCACCGAGCTGGGAATGTCAGGCAAGCAGGAATGCCCCGAGGAGAATGGCGAAGAGCTGCCAACAGGGCCAATGACTAATCCTGATGGGTCCCTGATAGCAACGTGCTCGCTTCGTGCTCTCTTTTGGGGGTGTAGCTGGGCTCCAACAAGACTTTGATCCTCCTCCTGGTGCTACAACAGCTTGGGAATGATCTTCCCTCCCGCCTGGCATCGCTGCATTGCCCGGTCGATCCAGGTTAAAGTTAGCCCTGCAGGTGCCTGGCATTGCCTCCATGAGCTGGAAGCTCCTCTTACAGGACTGGAATGTTTGCAGCTCCCTGGACCGGGGGTGGGAAAGGTTCTTTCCTGGTGCCAGGCACTGGGGTTGGGTTGGGTTGGGTTGGGTTGGGAGCCCGGGGTACTTGGGGATGGGCACAGCTCCATCCCCTCTGCACCCAAGCCCTGGCCAAGCTTTTGGCACCGATGCGGTGTTGAAAAGCTGCTCTTTCCAAGGGGCTGGAAATCCAGAGCTCTGGAAGAGGGAGGGGAAAAGAGGGGGGGGGAAAGAGGGATTAATTAAAACCAGGGATGCCGGAAGCTCTGCCAAGAGGAGAGGTTGGGATCATGTAGCAGCATCACGTGCTCCTCACCCCTTTCCTAGGCAAGAGCTTGCAGAGGGATCAAAGGGAAGGGAGGAACCTCAAAGCGTGCCTGATGCCAGAGCCAGCGGAGGGCTCTTTGGGCAATGGGAAGCCCTAAAGCTGCCCCTGGGTGTCCTTAGGCTCAGCACTAACTCGCATTCACCACGGAGGGCAAAGAGGCTGCCTTTGCTCCTTCTAGGTTCATTCTTGGT